TCAGCAGGAGCTGGGCTAGGCTCTCTCCCAAGCAGGCTGACGACATAAATCAGACACAGGACGCACTGGGGGGACCCAAAGGATTGTTCGGTCTTAGAGCATCTTTTTTTTCCCCTTTTTTAATGTCCATGGCAGTAGCATTACATAATTTGTACAGAGTTATCAATATTTATTTGCTGACAAATTACCCCAAGTGAAGAACTTGTGTGCGAGGGAGGGAGAGAAAGGAAAGTGTGGCAGATCTGGCAGGGTCTGTGAACCAGCCGAGGTTCTACTTTTAATCTATAGCTCCCTGCAGCCAGAGATACGGCAGTGCCAGAGACTCCTTGTTACGTGAATAAAAAGGCCTTCTGGTGCTAGCAAAGTGCATTAGGGAAGATATGTCAGCCCTGCATAATGCTGGTTGTTGGCTGCTTCCAAGACATGTCATAACAAGTAATCAAGTAATTAGAACAGCCATTGTTATTTGTAGTACAGTAGCACCCAGAGGTCCAGACAAGTCAGATGCCATTGTGCTAGGCACTGTAATGCACGTAGCAAAGGGACGGCAGACTGCAAACACAACAGACCAGACATGGGAGGGAGGGTGTATTGCTGTGACCAGCTTGAAAATAGGGAGCAGACACAGAGATTTGCCTTTAATTCTACCAGAAGTCTGCGACAGAGCCAGGAATCAAACTTACATGTCCTGAGTTACAGTCCAAGGTCTTAATGGTAATTCCTACTGTTTCCCCAGAGAGCCCCGAGATCATGGCCCTCATTGCAGTTGGTCAAAATCCTCGGTGCACTTAGTGGCAAATGCAGGTGTGAACACATATCCTTGGTTCTTGATTCCACCACAATCCTAGGGCCAAGCAGGATTGTTCCACATTTTGAAGGAAATGGTGATCATGTGGACACAGTATTTCCTGAGGTGTCCTCAGAGCACACAAGTTAGAAAAGTTTCCCATAACTGTAAGGGGCAAACATCTATCCCTCCCAGGCATGACAGCAAAGGAAGGGCACGCGAGGCGTTTTGACATGGTCCGTCACTTCTGAGCCCCACGGATCAGTAAAACAATCGAACGTACAAGACGGAACAAAGCAGAGAAGCATAATAAAAGAGATCTCATCCCTTTTGCTCTCCTTTGCTTCAGTTCCCAAGGGATTGGAAAAGCTTGTGGATATGTTAGTACACAAAAACCAGCAGCTCCATGTGACATAACACCATTTGGAGCCACCAAAAGGCACAACTACAACCAGCCTTCAAGATCCATTTAACTGAATGGGTAAAGCAGCAAGATCTTGGAGACATGCTAATTCCTACTTGTGATGCAGTGTTTGAGAGTTATAATATGACACAAGTCAAGGCTGTTTCCTCTCGCCAGGCTGACTGAGCCCCTTGGAAAGAAAACAGCTTCTGCCTATCCATTCTACACATGCAAGTAAATACATGGCACAGTATCAGGATGTTACCCAACCTTGCAAAAGGTGATTTAGCCTGTAAGACCTTGAGTGGGTAAAAAAAAATGAATTTGTGAATGCAGTGTAGGATGCACAGAAATTGGGTGCTTTCTGTTCAGCTAGTAACTTGGAAGGAGAGAATGGCAATAAGTCTCGATAGAAACTTTGGAGGCAGTGGTCAGTACAAAAAAAAAGAGAGGAAGATGCAGTTCAGTTTAATACAAATAAGGTCGGAGTATTAACTATATCCCTAAACAGAAAGACTGGACCCTTACCCTTCAGTTCTACACCATGCCTTTAAAACAGCACATGTGCAAGTCACTGTTGTGTTGAGGGTTTGCAATGGTGAACTTGCAAAGCTCTGCTAAAAAGTGGAGGAGAGCCCAGAACCATTTGACAAATGCCCTCAGTCACCTGGCACAGGGACATGCAACACAGGAATATATTTTGACTCAAATTTGTACTTAGTCTTGTTTAAGTCTGTATAAATTAAGCTGTGTTTATGGGCATATTACTTACCTTGTATGTTCTGTGTTTCCCCAGAATACAAGACTTTAAGGTAGTCTCAGTACCAGAAAACTCATCTGAGCATTGACTCTTCTGAATCAGTGGACTCCTCAAATGATGTATTTTGGAGTGTTTCTTGCCAACCTGAAAGAGAAAATGGCATTGCTATATTCCAAATGACTGGGAGCCTCATATATCGAAGCACTGAGTTTTGATACGTACATAACTATGGACTTGATTGAACTTGTCTGCCCTTTTGACTTAATCCAAATACATTGTCTTCAGTGGAAAAACTCCCATTGACTTGAATGGCCTTTGAATCAGCCTTTAACAAGTATCCACGCAACTTCCCAAATCCTGTGCCAGTGTGTCAAACCTAAGGTGCATTTCTCAGGTCACAGTTAATCCATGTAGTAAGGTGAAGCTCTGAACAAAAATGTAGAGGGGCTATAATTCTAAAGAAAATCAAAGTGATTGCTCTGGGGATATGAAAGATAAAGGAAACAGAATATACCTTCACTAGCCACATGTTCCAATCACCTAGACAGAAATACAAAGAAAAATAAGTATTCAGCTGTGTGCTTAATGCCACTGGAATGCAAAAAGGAACTGCAAAATTAATAAGGAAGTTATCAAATGTAACTAGGAAGACATTATTCTAGTTCACTCTTAAGGAGCTAATGAGGCCATTTTTAGAGCACAGTGCACAAGGCAAATCACTCAGATACAAAAGGATAGCACAGAGATGGGGAAAGTACAGCAAAGGGCAGGCGGCAAAACACAGGCACTCAGGAAGCTTAGTTATTCTCGAAGATTGTAAAAACTGGGTCTAAACTTTTTTAGAAAATAGGAAACTCTGGACCTTGTCCTGAGCGGTGCTGAGCCTTCTCAACCCCCAGCATCCTCAGGTACCTTCCCACACTGGTCCCTAGAAGCATACACCACGCTGCAGGGAAGACGCTGCAGAACAGTGCTACGTAGGATATGTGAGCAAACAAGGAGGCATTTTTTTTTCCAAGCCAACCAGTGTAAAGAAAGGCAGGGGCTGTAAGTCTGCACAGGGAGAATATTAAATTTGATTCCAAGCTGCTCAATAATTTCAAGCAGGCAACATGCAAGGACACACCAAACTGATGGCAAGGCAAATGGATCAATGCTAACACCTGATAGTTGAAGTGCAGAACGACGCGCTTCAGCAGCGCACGGTTTTGCCACCGCAAACTTCTTCTTTCCAAAATAACACAAACCTTTTCCTCACAAAACCCTCGAGCCCTCGTAACCATTGTCCCTGCACTATGCTATCACCCTTTCAGCAGCAGTAACAGTTAAGATGGGGGATGCATTAGAAGATCCAGATCAATTCTAACTGAAATAGTCCCTAGCAAAGGAAAGCGCTTTCACAACCCCAGAGTACCTTCCCCACACCCTGAAGTATCTCTGCCATTGGGACCCATGCCCTGAGAGAGATGGGCCTGGGCATCAGGAACAGACGAGCTCTGATGGCCCCACACCAGACCTACAGGGCCTCTCCAAGCAACAGGTGAATCGTAACTTGGGTTCCCTCGGAGCCAGGGTAGCCCCCTCCCTGGAACATCTCCCTGAGAGTATTTGGGGGGTGGGAATCCGTAGGAAAGCCCAGGCAAAGATAAAGGTCCTGGGATAGTTGTGTGGATGAACATGGCTTTCCATGGATGGCCCTTGCTTCCCAGGGCTTTCTACAGATGTCTTGGTATGCAAGGATTCGGAGGACTGAGCCCCATGTTTCATCCCACCAGGGATGATGGGAATTCAGTGGAAACCCACCTGTTTCCTGGTCCTCTGTCTGGAATTTTCCAAGATGAGAACAACTCCAAGGCTACATTTTTTTTCCTGTTCCTTTTTGATTAAATGTCTGGCTCTGACGTGGAAAGCAGCCCCACTGGGAAAGTACTGCGGGGCTCTGTCTTTACTGCATCCTGGCTCAAGCCTTCCCAGCTTACAAAGAAAAATGATGTTTTCTTTCCAAATATCCCTCTCAAATGTGACACAGTCATGATAGGTTGTCGCCGGCATGTTTATCATCGTGGCTAATGTGTAACAAAGATATTAGAACAATGATAATGAATAGCGTGTAGGCGATGCACAGAGCGGAGTAGGACCTGGCTGTCTCTTCCATCGCTGGTAACTCTACAGTGTAGGCAGATTGTAGTAAGTAAAGGTTGAGGTCGAAATAATCATGGGGAGTCGTTGCAAATTCTGCTGGGGTGAAGGCAGCCACCTTCCCCGCACATCAGGCTCACGGGCAAAAGCTCCATTCCCCGCCAGGTCCCTGTCCTACAGAGTGACTTTTCTAACTATCGCAGCACTTAGTGGAAATTTCCTCCTTCCACTGAGACGCTGTCATTGATGGGCATCTTTGTAGCAAACTCTCCTCATTCATCTCAATATTCAGCATTACATTTTGACTAAGCAATTTACTTCCTCCTGTCTCCTTAGCCCTCTCTGGTCCTCAGTGCTGTTAAAGGTTAATTCCTATTAGTGCATGAATGTCATCACCTAACCGAACCGCCTGTGTTTTGATTGCCTTGTCAGTGGCCAGGATGAGAAGAGATTTAATGGTTATTTTTGGCACCATCGCATCTCAGGGCTGTCAACTCCACAAATATTCCAATCTACTGCACTATTGTTCTTATTAGCCCGTTAACTATCCCAAATGAAAAGGGGCCTGGTTGAAATGGCACTTTCTAGCCAAGTCCATGGGACAGCAAAATGATGGATGACTGACACGAGGAGCCGACGTTCCTGAAACAGCAGCAGGCATGCAGATCCCCCGTGAGATCACCGTGAGATTAAGGAGGGACAGAGGATTCAGAGCGGAAACCTCCATGAAGAGTGATGTTATTTCCCCATTCTTACTGCTCAAAATAGCTTTTCTTGCAGTGGGAGGTCAGCGTTACCAGAAGTGACACATTGTCACTGAAACATGGGTGGACTGGCAGCCTGCTTTCAGGTTTTCTTCCCTGTCGTATCCACTTCACCCTCTGGTCTCTGGAACCATATGAAGACAGTGGCTCTGAGCAAACCCCGCATCAACGTGAGCCCAGAGCTCACTGCTCATGTGGAGCTCTGTCAGGAGCCCATGCTGATCAACGTGGGGACCCTTGCCCATGCATGGCACTGCCAAAGAGAAAGGTGACTGCACCCCACTTGCCCCGCTCCTGGATTCACTTCTGCCAAAGGCCCTTCTGCATGCTCAATAACCCACATTTCTGATGGGAGAAGGAAAACAGCTCGGCAAACTGAGATGGAGCATGACTAGCCCAAGGCAGGGTGATGCCAGTCCTCATGGCCCGGGAAGCTTGAAGAAGAGCAAGCAGTTCACTAATTCACATGAATTTAGCACTGTCCAGTGGGAAGTGCTGTTAGTGCTGCCTTGTTCTCACATAATACCAGTGCAGGCACAGCAGCTGGCTCGGAGACAAATGCAGCCTCTGCTACTGGGTTATACAGTTCTAGTCTACCCTGGTCCTTATACCACACCCCTGCCCTCGTACCCGTGCTTTTCTCATAGGGCATTAGTAAAATGACAACCGAGTAAAACAGATGGTCATTCTTCTCACCACTGCCCGATTACCAAACACCCAGCGATGCAAGTTTATCATCATCATTGAGCGCACCTACACGAGACACTTTACTGCACAGTAGACTCATCTACTGCACAATAAAGTGTCACCATCTGCACATGCAGGGCATTTACTGCACAGTAAATTAGGCTACTATGCGGTTAGCTAGTACCTGTAAATACAGATACTAGGTTAAGTATGTTCGATTCCAAGGCTTTTGATTCCTTAAATCGTGAAGGTGTGGACCATCCTCCAACACCTTGGATGCCCACTGAAGTTTGTCACCATGCTGAGGCTCCTGCATGATGATATGACCACCACTGTCCTGAATGGAAGATCAGAAACCAACACCTTCCGCATCTGGATCGGGGTCAAACAAGGTTGCGTGATCGCCCCCACCCTGTTCACCATCTACCTGACCATCATCATCCACCACATCCAAGATGATCTACCATCCGACATCAGTATCCAGTATCAACTGGACAGGAAGCTTTTCAATCTTGGGTGCTTCCAGGCAAAAACCTAACTCACAACCAAGGACATCCACGACCTTCGGTTTGCAGACGATTGCTGCGTGATGGCTCACTCTGCACAGGATGTGCAAGCGACCTTATATCTCTTCAACACTTGGTATAAGAGACTTGGCCTGACCTTGAATGTCATCAAGATGAAGTTTCTCCACCAACCCTCCCCAGGCCAGCTGGACATCCCTCACACTATCTACATAGACAGGGAGGCTCTGGAGTACGGGGAGCCCTTTCCGTATCTTGGCAGCCACCTCTCTCAATGGGCTACCATCGATGAAGAAGTCCAGCACTGGGTCAACTGTGCCAGTGCCGCCTTCTTCAAGCTGTGACAAAGTGTCTTTGAAAATAGAGACCTCCGGAAGATGATGAAGGTCCTGGTTTACAAGGCTGTCATACTGACCACCCTCCTCTACTGCAGTGAAACCTGAACCATCTACTGACACCGTATTAAAACCCTTGAGAGCTTTTACCAGCGGCGCTTGCATCGAATCCTGGGGATCAAATGGGAGGACTGCCAGACCAATGCGAGCGTCCTCCATGAAGGTGCATCCACCAGCATTGAAGCCTTGTTCTTGAGAAATCAACTCCGATGGACGAGCCACTGTGTCTGGATGTCCCAGAACCACCTCCCTCGCCAGATTCTCTTTTCCCAACTCTCCGTTGGCCAACACTCAAAGGGCGGCCAAAGGAAATGGTACAAAGACACACTCAAGGTCACCCTCAAGCACGAAGGCATCGACACCAATGGCTGGGAGCCATTTGTTGAGGAGCAAGTTGCTGACTGTTCAGTGTGGCATCACCTGGTCCACCAAGGTGCATACCACTTCGAGGCCCGACAACTTGATACTGAGGTGGAATGGCAGCAGTGGAGGAAGAAGGAAACTAACCCGGGGCTGCGAATCCCACTCCCCCGCACAACAACATGCCCCCATTGCTGAAGAATGCGTGTATCCAGAATCGGGGTCCTCAACCACCTGAGAGCCCACGAAGCCTGATGGACGTCATCCTCGACTCCAAGGGACTGCCAACAACAACTGCACAGTAAATTAGGCTACTGCGCAGTTAGCTAGTACCTGTAAATACAGATACTAGATTAACTGCACAGTAGTTACTGCAAAGTAACACTCGTTACTCATTACAAATTTGCTCCTGGTCAACCTTGCCAGCAGGGGACCAGACGGGAGAGGGGGCTGTCGGTCCCCTGCCCTGGTGCTCCTCAGCTCCCAGCTCCCCCCGGGAGCCGATCAGCATGGGGACTGGAGAGGTCTCTGCCCCCTGTCGCAGCGCTCAGTGTGGAGCTGGCAGCTCTGGAGGGCAAGCGGAGGTTGGAAACCCAGCTCCTACCTGCCCCTTGAAGCAGCTACTGCACAACAAGGAGTTGGCTGCTTGAGGGTTTGGGCAGAGGATGGGAACCCAGCGCCTGCCAGCTCCATGGAGCAGCCAGCTCTGCACCAAGCAGGATAATTGCCAGCAAGCCCTGCTTCCCCTGCCCGGCATGGGGCTCACTGGCAGCTGCTCCACACCCAAGGCATGGGGCTCGCTGGCAGCTGTGTTTTCCACAGGGCATGGGACCAGGAAAGCTCTGCCCACTACAAGGGCATTTACCTCCCGGCCTGGTGCACATCAGGTCCTCTCCCAATGTGCAATGGTCTGGGAGACAACGGCCACTGCAGCCAGCAGAGCTCTCCTGGCCCTGTGCCCATTGGGACCTGTCCTGTGTCCCTTGCTAACTAACCCCCAGGCTAGCACCCAGGGTACCCTGGCTGCTGCAGCGGGGACAGAGCAGGGCAGGAGCATCCTTGTACTGGCATGCCTACTGCGAATTAATAGCATGGTTAGATGCACCCATTAAGTATTTTCATGCCACCCTGAAGCACGCTAGGTACTAACAGGAAGACACGAGGGTGGAATATCCAAAGAACACCGGAGTTCCAGTTTCCGAAGTGACTCAGGAGCCTAAATACCATTGGCTGCGGAGCTGAAAAGACCTCCCTCACTTTTGAAAGTAGGACTGAGGTGCTTTGGAAAGTTTTGCCTGTGGCACCCCCACACAGGACTCACAGCACAGTGCTGCCAGGAGTAGAGTGCCCCCACTTGCCCTTGGGCTGAAATAATCTTAATTAAGTGATTTTCTGAGCAGGCTGTTAAAGCTGTGGCTAAGAGGGGTTTTGGAGAAGACAGAGGTTCCAACAGCAGCGAAAGCTAGAAAGGATTTTTAGTAGGTGTCTGCTTGGCTGAGTTCCTAAAGAAATTATTACTTTAATTATCTTGGGACTGTATGTTAAGTGATAGGCGAAGGCACCTAGAACCTTGGAACGGGCGTCTTCGTATTGTTTGTAAAGTAAATGCAGAGACTAGCTGCAATGGGGCTCCGCACAGGGCTGAGGGGTCACTCTAAGAGGAAACCTAAGTGAGGACACTCATGGAAGCAAGCAAGGATGATGTATCATCATATTTGCTATGTTCACGTGTGTGCTTAATACTCTGAATTATTCACAACAACATATGATAATGTAGCTTGTCAATATAATGAAATATCAGTGACAAGACACCTGGCTACCCCTGCCTTTCCTGAGCGCAGAGGAGACTGCGCCAATTTTGGCGAAGATCAAAAAGGTGGGTGTGATGGAAACCCAATCAACCGGGTTAAATGGCATCTCACAGACACATAGGCCTGGAAGGGACCTCGTGGGTCACTGAGTCTAACATCAAGTTCTTGTCACAAACGTGTGGTACATGCTCGAACATCCCCGTTGCACAGGACTGGAGCTCTGAGCATTTTGTACCACATCACATTTCAGAGCTTCTCCCCTTTGCCGCAAGCCCCAGCTGAAAATACAATGGAACATGAGAGGGAGAAGCCATGAAAACCTGGAGCAGAAAGCAGAGCAGCGGGTCCATTACCCGACATGCTCTGCGGTTTCCCATGGGAAACCATAATCTACCAAAACGTCCTCATGGCAACAACTACCGACATCTCATGCTTGCACCAGGTTTCTCCGGCCTTGTGACTGCCCGCTAGCCACAGGCAGCAGGTGCCAGGTGAAGTACCGTCCCGCTGGAGATGTGCGTTCAAACTTGCAGATGGGGGTGACATGTGCGGACAGCTGGCGACATCTCGTGGCCAACCTTAATATCACAGAGGAGAGTCCCCTTTTATGGACCTCGTTTACTGAGACGATACTGGTGGGACGACTGCATCTATCCCACCAC